TTTTCGGTCTATAACTGTCAGTGGATGGCAATATGCACGTTGAAATCAACATGCTTAGAAAGGAAGTGGGCACTAGCATGCCTTCACTCACATGTGATGAACAGCTCATGAGCAGAGTCTACAAAGTGTGTGCGTGTGGGCTTCATCCCTATGACTGGCAACACTGTTGTTTCAAAGATTACCCATCACAGGGAGAGAACCTGTGTGTATACTTCCTAAGTGTATAGACACTGTGCACACGAGGCAGCAATCACCAGCAGTCAGTGTACTTGTGCGCACTTCTCTACAGGCACTGGTTTCAACACATGTAATGTCTGTAGAGGGTTTCACTGTATCTGAAACTTAGTATCAAGCTCATAGAAGCATCTTACACCTTAGTCATACATCTCATATTATATATGGGTGAATAGACTGCTTGGTGTACAGGATGCGGTCCCATTTGGCAATTTCTTTTAGCCAGATGTTAACACCCAACTCTATTTCACCTTTTCATCTACTTCAAGCACCCCAATTCTAAGCAACTACTGGGCTATACCAGCATGACAACTAAAGTTACATTGGCACCAAAGTCCTGTTTCCAATGTATGTAAATACTGTCAAGTCCCAACTGATTTACTGTGACCATAGCAAGGGGCTTTCATGGCAAATGAGAAGCAGAGGTGGTCTGCCATTGCCTTCCTCTGCACAGCCTTCCTTGGTGGTCTCCCATCCAAGTACCGACTCTGCTTAGTTTTCAAGATGTGATGAGATCAAGCTACACCATGCTGCCTTCCCTCTCCAGTCTGTTTCCTACATGCATTTATCTACCAGAGCAGCGAATTTGGGGGCCACTTCTGAAGACACACTATTTGTTCATAGGAGTGTTCACACACACCACTACCATGATGAAAATAATATCACGTGGTCATGTGTTATTTACTTACAAGTCACTTCAGGCAGGCTGCTTCTTGAAACCTCACAGGCTGAAATGGGTGTTATTTTTACACCATGCACAAACAGGAAACACAACTAGCACTTTTCTTTCCTTGAATCCAGGTAATATGTGGAACTGCCATTAGGACAATAAACATTTATGTACATGGATCTGTGCGCCTTGGTGTTTAGTCATGCCAGCCACATGACCACGGAAACGTCTTCGGACAGTGCTAGCTCTTCGGCTTTGAAACGGAGATGAGCACCGCAACCCTAGAGTCGGATTCGACTGGCTTTCGAGCAAGGGAACCTTTACCTTTTACATGGATTGGACTGGAAGGGCACTTTTTACTGGATGATGATAGCCACTGATCCCGGTTATGATGCATAGGACAAGGACAAACTGCACACAGACACTGTAGTTACTCTTAGAGCTTGCATATTTATTGAACAAATCCTACTAAAAGAGCTAAAATACATTGGGTACTTGTAGTGCATTATTAAAGATCACACTGTTACAAAAGCTTGCATTTCAGCAGTACACAACTGCAACTATACATAAATGCCACAACTGCTGAATACTGTTTCTTGCTATATGTATATACAGCACAATTGACTTATCTAATCTACCAGAAAGAAAGTGCATAAGAATGGGGGATGGGGGAGAAACCAAGAAGTGCAGTGCATGCATTGGTATTTAACAGTCAGAAGCTAAACAGTTCAGGACAAAGCCTGCCCAGTAAAAGGAAGAGCTGAAGGACAGAGTTATATAAAAAAATTAAGGTGGGCTTCCAGACTGTGTCTAACACAACAACATTCCATGAATAGATGGTACTGTTTTGTTTTGTATTTTGTTTCCTAATTCCCTGGGAGCAAGAACAAAAATGTAAAATCCACAAGCTGGAAATACTGTGGAACTAGATTCATTGCTTTTGAATAGTTTCTGTTTCTACACATTTAAAGAACTCATTGTTTTTATTAAAAAAACATAGCCAATTTTATTGATTTTAAGAGGACACTTACAAACATACTGCCCCCTTGAAGAATATGCCTCCGAATGAATTTTTTTTAAAAGAAAAGACAAAAACATTAAGATAACCCCTAAAGACCATAAGAAAATTATTGCTGCTCTTTATCCAAATCATGTAAGCAAAATGGCAGAGAGGAAAATTGTAGTAAATTACAGTTTTGTGATTGCTCCCACTACCATTGCAAGTTTGTGAGCATACCCAGGTGGGAATCAGTTCCTCACTTGCTGTATTAGTAATTACTCACCCTACAACACTGAATAAGAAAGCCACACTGAAGACACAAGGAAACAAGTCAGTCCAGTCTAAAGAACAAGAACAAAGTACCAACACCTTCTTAGAACATGGAAATTAAAAATAACTCCATCAGAGCTACCTTGCCAAGGAGCATGTTTAAAGTCCAAAATAGCACCATTCATCAGTGTCTCAAATCCCGTGGCAGCATCTCAGTCACTTACCACAAGGAAACCATGAGTTTCATACTACTTCTATACATCAAAAGAGTACATGGATAAAATATAGAGATATACAGACAATCGATGAAAATAAACTACTAGGCTTGTTACGTCTAAATGAAATAAAGGGGGACTCTCAGCCTCTGCAAGAAGCAGTTAGGAATCATGAAAATGGAGAGGCAGCAGTTTTACCAGTTGCATGTGGTCAGTGGAGTTTGAGTAGTGGAAGACATTGCTGTGGTAGAACAAGGCCTGAAGGCCCACCTGTAATGTTTGTAAACTTGGGTTCACAGTGTGAAATTCTGAGTGTTTTTACTTGAGTCAGAATGGTTAAAAACCGGTTTATGGTATACATTTTTCACTGTAATTCTCCAAAGCAAGGCTCAGAGTCCCATAGTTTTCTTCTTATGATTTACACAGAAACAATTCCCGATATATGACACCATGATGACCTCATCAACACCCATACACCATATTTAATACAAATGAGGAGTTATGATTAAAAAGAGGAGAGGTAATTGATTTGGGTGAAATGGTGTCCATAGTCATTTGCTGGTGACAGGAACGGAGGTTCAGGTTTTTCATTCTTTTTGCGATTAACTTCCTTTGGGATGGGCAGATTGTCCTATACATGAGGAAGGAGGGGAAGGAAAGAGTTAACAGCTGCATTTTTACAAAAACTGCCATACATAAACCCTGCCCCTTACATGCTCCTGGCCATAAAGACATGCAAATATGGCATAAACATTTTTTCATATTTAAAACAGATCTATTTTAAAAATTCATCACTCTTGAGGCTGTCTCGACAGGTGCTATTTTTGTGCTAATAAGTTATGAGGACTCCAAGTACTCATTCCAACTTCCATTGTGTTTATGGCCAGGTGCCATTTGCCTGTGTAGACTGAGCCAGGATCACAGCAAACAGGTTTCTTGGAGCAGTCACTGTGAACACAAGTTGCTAATTTGTACATTCCTGTTCAACCCAATTTTAAGCTGGTTAGCGAAATTGTAGTTTGTGCATGTGGCAAACAGTTTGGGCAGAGCAGACGTGCCATCTAATCTCTGAATAAATAGCAGACTGAAAGAGTGAATTAGCTCTTGGAACTAAGTTTATCAAATCTACTGCAGAAGGCTATGTTGTGAAAACTAGTCCAGCTCTCAGTGGCCCATTGCAAACTGTACCTATGCAGTGAAAAATATTAAGTTTGTGATTTACAATCATGTTGCCCTGCCAGTAGTCAGGAGGATGATCAGTGCAAAAAAACTTAACAGTATTACAATCCTTTAACACCATTTAGATTTCTGAATACACAGACTGAGATACCTTGCCAATGAAAATAATTTTCCCTTAGATGTTCACCATACAACCCTTCTTCAAAATGATAGCAAGCTTCAAAATGATACAGACACTGTACTGGTGGATGTGGATCTTTCCTTGCCTTCCCCAACCATCTTCTCTGATCCCCAAAAGAACACTGGTAGGGAACGGGAGACCCTCACAGACAAAAAGCCATGTGGGTTGCAGGGCTTACTCTTCTGACAGTGAACCATAGCAGAATACAACAGCATCAGTTATCTATCCTCAGCATACACAGCTCACTCTCTGGTCAGTGAAAGGAGGCAGTATCACTTTGTTTAAAACATCTTTATCCCATATTCTTGACACAGACAGATCTGGGTAACAGCACATATTAAAATATACAGTAATCAACAAACAGATTAAAAACTGTGGCATGACAATAAAACTCAGCCTGTTAAATACTTCAAAACTTTCCCCACTATCACAAAACTTCCACAAAATGTGAAAACATTTCAAGTTTATAACAGATCGCCTAAGATCTACAAACCCTTCAAAGGTTTAAAGTGCTTGGTGCTCTGGAAGACCATTTAGACACAACAGTGCAGCTATCAAAGAGGCCTGATTTCTGAGAGAGACCCAAAAATGCTTGTGAACAGGTCATTCATTCATATGTACTCCCCAGGTAATGAAGGGTTTTAAAGAGAATTATTGGCCCCCGAATCCTTGTGCAGACAAGGACAACTAAAATGATTAAGGGGATGGAACACCTTTCCTATGAAGAAAGGTTAGAGGTTAGGGCTGTTTAGCTTGGAGAAATGATGACTGAGGGGTGACATGATAGAGGTTTACAAAATTATGCATGGGATAGAGAAGGTAGAGAAAGTCCTTTTCTCCCTTTCTCACAATACAAGAACTCATGGGCATTCAATAAAATTAATGAGAAGTAGGCTTAGAACACATAAAAAGAAGTACTTCGGTTTACAAAATTTAATTAACACATGGAATTCACTCCCACAGGAAGCGATGGTGGCTACAAGCATACAGCTTCAAGAGGTGATGGATAAACATATGGAGCAGAGGTCCATCAGTGGCTATTAGCCACACTTTATCTGGGGCAGTGATGCTCTGAATTCTTGGTGCTTGGGGGGCAACAGCGGGAGAGCTTCTGGAGTTCTGGCCCCACTGGTGGACCTCCTTGGTGGCACCTGGGTCTTGACTACTGTGTGACACAGAAGAGATTGGATTTATACCCCGCCCTTCACTACCCAAAGGTGTCTCAGAGCGGCTTACAATCTCCTTTCCCTTCCCCTCCCCACAACAGACACCCTGTGAGGTAGGTGGAGCTGAGAGTTCTTTTGAGAACTGCTCTTGAGAGAACAGCTTTGAAAGAACTTGTAACTGACCCAAAGTCACACCAGCAGCTGCATGTGGAGTGGGGAATCAAACTCAGGTCTCCCAGCTTAGAGTCCATGCTCCTAACCATTGGCCTGAGTCAACATGGCTCTCTTATGTTCTTATTGGAGCTGAGATGGTTAACCATCTGTTTTTGGTTTATGGTGGTTACTTGTAATTGAGCTAGTGTCAGAAGATTTAAATTCCACCAATCTAATATTAAATACTTCGATTTTCCCCTTGAAATTCTGCATCAGAAAATAGTTTCCATAACCCTATATTAATTTTATTTCGTTTTAGTCTTTTTTATTGAAAAATTAGAGACTCTTAAGAAATAACTGCAACCAGATAGACACAGAGCAGTCCAATATATATAACAGACTGGCCTCAACAGTTCCAAAACTCGCAACCAGGGGTCATTTCCTGTAGAAGCGCACAGGAGCGGAGCTCCGGCAGTAAAGTGCCCAGGGGGCGGGCACATGCAACAAGCCCCATCCCCTGCTCCCAGCAGCCCTCAGTCAGAGCAAGAAGCAGCCAGGTAAGTTGCAGAGCTCCCCCTGGCCCCCCAGCCCAAAACAGTCCAGTGGCACCTTTAAGACCAAGTTTTATTCAGGTACAAGCTCTCCCTCCTCTATGAGGACAGATCTGCACGTTCCCCCCCCCAATAGCTAGCAATCCAAAACAGTCCAGTGGAGCCTGAGCAGTGGGTGTTGCCTTCTGACACACTTCCGGTGATGTCAGGGGGTGTGGCATATGCAAATAAGTTATGCTAATGAGTTATGCTAATGAGCTCCTGCACCTCTTTTTCTATGAAATGACCCCTGCTTGCAACCATATTCCATACATACAGGTCTACCTATGGTGAGCGTATTCAGCTGTATGTTGCAAATTCATTCACGCTGTGGCTTTTCTACTCTCTTTGCTGGGACATATCTAGCTTCAAGGAAAAGTCCAAATGTCATGGACAATCAGGGCTGCCAAGTCTTATTGAATCGCGAGACTTGGCAGCCCTATGGACAATTAATTCAAATTGTCTTTACAGCATCTGCACCTGAGAACAAGAAAGCTTCATCCTGTTTTCATGTAATGCTGGCAGAGATAGGTCTTCAGCCACTGTTCAACAAAAACACTTGCCAGCTTGCCAGTGGAGAGGATGTTTTTCATCCTGTTGAATTCTATTTAATACAAAAGAATTTGCTGCACTACACCTTTAAGATCTTCACAACAGGGGGCTTGCAGCCAAATTTTACTTCCATTTTTAGGAGAGGCTCTTTTGTGCCTCAAAAGCAGCTGTTTTTTTAATGTTCTTTCTGTTTCTCTTTCTCTGATGATACTACCTTCTCAGATAAAGAGACAGCGAGAATGGAACCATTATAAAAAGAGCTCCATTTGCCCCTGCCTTTGATTATGAAGCAGGGAAGAATGGTCTTTTAAAAAACTGAAATCAGATTTGCTACTGATTTCTACTTAAAAGTTTTCCCAAACCCAGCCAGGGAATTTCAGTGATGTTGAATCTGATCATATGCATATTTATAGGGACTTACTCTCGGAAACATATATAGGACTGAATATTAAACTACCTTATAATGGAGTCAGACCTTGGGTCCACACAGCCTAGCACTGTGTACTCTGATTACCCGTTGATTTCAGGTCTCAGCTACAGATCATTCCAGCCATGCTGCCAGAGATGCCAGCATCCTCCAGAGGAAGTGCCTCTTGCCCTGGAGGATAGTTTTCCACTTAGGTTTAGATTAGGCATTTTTAAAAATAAATGCTGCACGTGCAGTTCCAAAATGGGGCAAATAATGACCTCCCTTGGCATCCTGAGTCAGGAAAATGGCTGAAGTCCCTTCCCTCCCCCACTGTGGTCCTGAGCCAAATTAGCCTCCTACATTGCTTTAAAAATTAGTTCACAGCAGCTGCTGTCTGCCTGTGGGGAAAGTTAATCAGATCAGGGGAACCCAAATCTGACTTGTTAAGAAATGTAATGGAGTGGTAGGAGAGAATCAGTTATTCAGCACTTTATCTTGAGCACAGCATACATACATTTAGTTCAGATCTAAAAGGGTATCTGTGGGAATGGCACTTATTCTGTTGTGTGTGCACTTGAAGCTACATACCGGTTTAGCTGCAAAACAGGAGCATGTGCCAGGCTTTTCTGCTATGGGTTGAGATCTGCATTCCCCCACCTTCACTCCTGTAATGGCACACATTTAGCCTCTAAATCCAATGCTATCCTAACATCCTGGCTCCATGTGGCAAGTGGACCAATGGCTTCTTGTTTTCAAAAAATAACATAATCAGACTTCTGCTTGCCTTCTTGTTTTCAAAAAATAACATAATCAGTATAGACTTCTGCTTGCATTTTTTCTGTTCAAACATTTGTTTGATATTTTCTTACTCTCTGAAGTTTTATACTTTAACATTGTTTTGAAAAATATTTTACACTTAATTAAAAAAAAAAACGGCTTCAAGAACGGGGAGATGACTTGCCATGCAGTCCTAAGCAGAGTTACACCCTTTAAAGTCCACTGACTGAAAAAAGGCTCTGCTAATCAACACTGTGCACAGCCTTAAGAGGAGGAGGCTTTCGGATTGACATCCATCTAGGTCCTTCTTCTTTTGAAACCAGAATATGAGGTTTCCCTTGGGCTGAGTACGAGGGAGAAAATGGTACATGTACACAAAATGCAGAATGTACTTCCATAATGGATTCACTGCTAAATGTTTCCATGTCTGCATAGTACCCTGAGTTAAGGGTTGGCTTAGTACGTGAGAATTTTGTCCCAGCATTCAAATGTATGTTTTGCAGATATATCAACGTATCAGTGAATCAATTCTTTTAAAACATATTCTTTACCCCCAAGAGCACTACGGTCTGGGGCCCAAAATTTGTTAACTATTCCAGGCCCCAGGGATGCAAAATTGGCCGCCACAAGGGCCAGGGCCTTTTTGGTAGCGGCCCCTACCTGGTGGAACGAGCTCCTGGGGGAGATCCGGGCCCTGCGGGATCTTATGCAGTTCCGCAGGGCCTGCAAGGCGGAGCTCTTCCACCAGGCTTTCGAGTAGGGGCCGCTGCCCCCCCTATTATGTTGCCATCCGGGGTGGTGGTGGAAGAGGCCCTGAGAAGAGCTCTGAGAAGGATTATTGGAACATCTGAACAGTGACGCTATAAACTGTCTGCCAAGAATTGTTTTGGAATTGTCCCGCCATCTTGGGTTTTGGAGTTTTGATTATCACCGAGCACTTTATGTGATTTAGGACGGGTTTTTAAATTGTATAGTATGTTTTTAAACTGTATGTATATTGTTGTTGTTGTATTGTTGTTTTATTGTAGCAAGTTTATCTTGCCTTGTAAGCCGCCCTGAGCCCTACGGGGGAGGGAGGGGTATACATTTAAATAATAAAATAAAATAAATTCTTTTCACATTCATTGTAGTTTTAATGTCAGAGGATGGAGGAAGAAAAGTAGAAACACAGACATGCAAGCAACACACAGACAGACAGACAGACTAAAGATCTGGGCAGACTTCCAAAAGCATTGTGTTATGCAGTTCCTTTTCAGCTGTAAAAACAATCTCAGCCCTGAAATTCTGCCATACAATCATAAGAAAAACATCCCATGTGACCATTCTGGGATCTGCAAATACATTCTCTGTTCTATGCAGCCATTTACATTTGGCTACTCCATGAGAAACAGAAAGGGCCTTTTTGTCTGGACTTCTGAATTTAAAATCTGTTCTTTTTTATTGCTCCTTCGTTATATAAGGCTGTTTGGAATCAGCAATAAGAGTTCATAAAACTGTTTAGAAGGACTGAGCCCTTTTCACCAATCTTCCACGACGTTCTGTTGTCTCTGATTTTACTAATGTAGGAACATGATTATAATGCCTTTCTGTTTCTATGTAATCTTATTATGACAGTATTCAGAAAGAGAGACTGAAAACACATAATTTTTAATGGTATATACATTATGTACAGGATGGGAGAAAACTGAGGGCTCAATAATCCTGCTGTGTGCAGCAGCGTGTGACGCAGCCCTTTAAACCAAGACTTTAATTCTTTCTATCCTGATCCACAGAACAGTTTGCCCTTTCAAGCAATTCACTTACTAGAGCTTCCATTACAGAAGTAAGCTAACATCTTGACAATATTGACCAACAACTAGTGTGGCATCCAGTCCTTGTCAATGCTCTGTTCAGTTCTTTTTCCTGCTAAGGAAACACTCCTTTATCACAGTGCAGTGATCCAGAAGAAAACCATCTTATTAAGGTCCCTAGGAATAGAAAAAGGATGCAGAAAGAGGACTTGCAGGGAAGCAGTAACTGTTCCATGGAAGGAGTGGGGATCCAGTTTTGCCTGCTGGGAGGGAGCAAGACATTCATACTACAATGGCCCAAAATGATTCCTGGAGCAAAACTTCCTCATGAGGAACAGCCTACTTCCCAAAAAAGGCATCTATGCGAAGGCCTAGTTGTGAGCAAAGCAAGGGAACCAGTATTGGGGAAGGTCAAAATGGAAGACTCTTTGTGATTCCCTTGGTTAAAATGGAAGGACAATAACCCACTTTCTTTCTGGCTGAGGCCAAAGAACCGAAAGGCTCCCACCTCTGTTCTATGTAAAATAAGTTAAAGTCAAGAAAAAGTTATATGATATCCAAGGACTCCACACCCCTGATAACGCAGCATATGGTTGAGAATCACAGCCCTAAGATACAGGATCTGATTTTTTTTTCAGGCATACAGAACATACTCTTAGCAGAATAATAATTACTCGAATCAATTATGTAATAATTGTTATACTAAAATACCTTAGTTCTGACTAATGCATATGTGATTAGCAGTCATTTTACCTCAAAATATCATTTCTAGGAAAGGTATGAGTAAAATTATATGGCAGTTATGTGTGGTAATCTTCCTATCAAAGACTCAAAAATTGATTTTGTGACATGTAAAATATGTTGACTGTTGTTAAATGAATGCGTTGTACAGATGTAGAGGGCCACTCAAAACAACCCCACTTCACCTGAGCTTGCAGTACTTTGTGTTCACTGGCATCACAAATTATAATATAAACTAACCATGCTGTGCAGTACATGAACATATAATTAGAATATAAATGGGTTTGCACTGTATAACTTTCTGTTACAGATTTTGTTGAAACAGTCTTATCATAAAAATGACCAAATTATAAATATTGTAACCTTTATTAATATTTTCCAGGCTGTTTGAATTAATTATACTATTCTGTGTAAGGTCTGTATTAGTAAAGACATTACTATGTAATCCTTAAGGGTTACGCCATGCTTAATCCTTTTAAATCTATGGGTTTAGAAGAAGAAAAAAAAGAGATTGGATTTATACCCCACCCTACACTCGGAGTCTCATAGTGGCTTACAAACTCCTTTCCCCTCCCCACCCCACCCCACCCCACAACAGACACCCTGTGAGGTAGGTGGAGCTGAGAGAGCTCTTTCCAGAACTGTCCTTGGAAGAACAGCTCTGACAGAACTATGGCTTGCCCAAGGTCATCCAGCAGGTGCAAGTGGAGGAGTGGGGAATCAAACCTGGTTCTCCCAGATTAGAGTCCTTGCACTTAACCACTACACCAAACTGCAACTGCTTTGGATTTCACTGTTAAATTTGGTTGCCACTATGTGAATCCTAAGGTATGTCATATGACAGTAAAACCAAGAGGATTTTCAAATATTGCAAAATAAACTGATTTCTAATTATACAGCTCAGAACTTTCCTTCAATAAAGGGTATGGGAAATGTGCTGATCTCTGAACAGATTTGTTCATGGGAATTTTCTTAGGATAGCTCTAGGAATATATCTGAAACTGTTTTCCATCTGTTGACTATTTTGCTTACTTGCCAATTCTGCTGCCAAATTTTTGAGTCATGAGTAAACAGGGATAAGGGAATGAAACCAATATGTTTTGTGGCTTTTGAAAAACCGTTTTTACTCTACTCAAATTTCATATCCTATTTTGGACATACCAGAATGAAAATAAGACTATTCAAACTTGCCAGGAAGACAAACACTTCTGTAGTTATGTTAAACACTATTATTTTTATCTAGAATACAAGCAAAAAGTGTTACTTAATTCCACTGAAAGCACTGAAAACTTCAAAGGTAAGTAAGATATCACATTACCGGACAAGTTAACTATGACATCAGTTTTCTGTTCTAAATTCTTTTCTCCTAGAGGTGCTTTTATGTTTTTTAAATGGTGTAGAAGTTCTGTTATGCTTTTTTGTGAAACCTTTTGTTAGCTCACCAAAAAAAAAGGAAAAAACTTTAGGTATACTACAGTAACTCGTACTTCTGTTTTTGTTCTCTGGCAATCATAAAATAATCCCAAATGACACTTTCATTGTACATTGTACATTTAAAGCTCTTGTAATCCAATCTGAGGTTTTTAAAAGTATGTAAATAAATATACCTGAAAAAATCCTCCATACCCATGGCTGATTGGAATGTGTTTCTGGCTGGCTGCGAGCCTTGGTCGATAAACCTATAGAAATATTAACACAATAAAAATATTCATCGTGAGAGCTATAGTCATTTGCAGAAACCTTAATTTAGTTTTTAACTGCCATCACAGTGTGGACAGATTCCACACTGAGACTCACAAACTCACCAGAGGCCAGAGATTCTCAAGTAAATTTGCAGACCTTTTTACTAAAGAGAGAACTTTAAGATGAAAGCAACATCCACCAAAGTCTTCTGGATCAGATGCTTCCACTCTGTCCTGCCCCTCCTCATAAAGTCCAGTCTCTAAGTACTGCCCACCAATATCTTGTTCTACATGGTTTTTTTTACTGTTGTGGTATCTTGCAGTTAGGGCACATCTAACCTGGAGATGCATTATCTAGGTCTTACTTCAGGTCTTACTTTGGTCAATGAATACCTTTCCTGTTGATGCTGAATCAAGTTTTTATTTACAACTGCACTATTTATACAACTTGGGCCCCGGTCACACAGGCTGGATATTGTGCGGGGGAGGCGTGGCTAATTGCCCCGGCGCAGTTTGATCCGCGATTATGTGATCAGACGCGCTGGCAGCACACCACGGGTCCTTCCCTCGGCACCGGCGGGTAAACAAGGGACCGGAGGGGAATGCCGCGCGCTGGCGCGATCACACCACAGGCGTCTGGAGGCAGCCCGTGGCAAACATTTACTAGTACCTTGGAGGTACTAGTTTTTTAACGCGCATTGTCGGCGGTAAGCCACGGGTGCACTCCACTTCCCAGATGTTGGGGTGTGATCGCACCCGGATAATCCGCCCACCATCCGTGCCTCTTCCGCAGCAACTTTGCCGTGTGACCGGGGCCTTGTATTCGTTATTCTGCTTAGACTATTTGGCATCAGTGGAGCAAACAACTGGTCATCAACTGAAAGAAAAAGAGCTTGGGATTGTAGTGGATAATAGCTCAATGAAAGTTTTAAGCTAGTGATCCACAGCAGTGATAAAGACAAATTCTATGCTAGGGATTATTAGGAAAGGGATTGAAAATCAAACGGCCAAAATTATAATGTCTCTGTATAGAGCTATGGCGCAGCCTTCTTTAGAATAGTGTGCACAGTTATGGTCACCATATCTCAAAAAGAACATTGCATGGCTGGGAAAAGTACAGAAGAGATCAACCAAGATGATTAAGGGGTTGGAGTGCCCTTCCTATGAGGAAAGACTGAAGAGTTTGTAACGTTTCAAAACTAAGGGAGGATAGAAATTTACACAATTATGGACAAAGAGAGTGGACAGAGGGAACTTTTACGCCCCCTAACAAAATATTTGAACTCGAGGCCATCTGGTGAAGTGATGGTCAGTAAATTCAGGATGGACAAAAGGAAATACCACTTTACAAAATCAGCAATTAAAATGTGAAATTTTTGCTGCAGGAGGAGGTAGTGGTGGCCACAGGCAGAGACAGCTTTAAAAGGGGATTAGACAGATTTGTGGAAGATACGTCTATCAGTGGCTACTAGTCATGGTGACTAAAAGGAACCTCCTCATTCAGACAGAGGCAGTAGAACGAATACCAAAGGCAGAACATAATATCAGGGGTAGGCCTCAACCTATATGCTGTTCTTTCATTTATATAATTTTTATTCTTAATATTTAAGATAGCGGTACAAAATAAAAGGAGGGGTGAAGGGGGAAATAAAAAATGAAGAAAAACATCAAATTTTATACATATTAAGGACATATCACTAATATAAAAATATAAAACATGAAAAATCATAACACATTGCTATAACAGTGTAATCAACCTATACTACTATTTCCATATAACATATATAAATTATTTCCTATCTATAAGGCTGTGACAAAAAACACATGGGCAAGAAAAAATCTCTTAAACTTTGTATATCATTTTAAAGTAACAGTATTAAACAGTTTTAATACAGTTCAGAGGACAGCGGAAGAGCAGAAGACAGGAGGGCCTGGCGGGATCTGGTCCATAGGGTCGCGAAGAGTTGGACTCGACTGTGCGACTGAACAACAACAATTAAACAGTTTATGATAATGAAGAAAGAACAGAAGATAATATTCCATATAAAAATTGAGTTCATATAATAACTAATTATATAGGTGAGAACAATTAATTATAATAACTGCAACAATTGCTATAATTATATTGATTTTTCAGGGTGTTCAGGGTGGTGAAAACCAGTGAGGATTGTGAGGCACTCCAAAGGGATCTGTCGAGGATGGGCAAGTGGGCGTCAACATGGCAAATGGGGTTCAATGTGGCCAAGTGCAAGGTGATGCACATTGGAGCCAAAAATCCTAAATATAAATACACATTGATGGGGTCTGAACTGGCAGAGACTGATCAAGAGAGAGATCTTGGAGTTGTAGTAGATAACTCACTGAAAATGTCGAGACAGTGTGTGACTGCAATAAAGAAGGCCAATGCTATGCTGGGGATTATTAGGAAGGGTATTGAAAACAGATCAGCCAATATAATAATGCCCCTATATAAATCAATGGTGAGACCTCATTTGGAATACTGTGTGCAATTCTGGTCACCACACCTTAAAAAGGATATTATAGCTTTGGAAAAAGTGCAGAAAAGGGCAACTCGAATGATAAAAGGGTTGGAACACTTTCCCTATGAGGAAAGGTTAAAGCACTTAGGGCTCTTTAGCTTGGAGAAACGACGACTGAGGGGTGACATGATTGAGGTTTATAAGATTATGCATGGGAAAGAGCAGGTAGAGAAAGAGGTACTTTTCTCCCTTTCTCACAATACAAGAACCCGTGGGCACTCCATGAAATTGCTGAGCGGTCGGGTTAGAACAGATAAAAGGAAGTACTTCTTCACCCAAAGAGTGATTAACACATGGAATTCACTGCCACAGGAAGTGGTGGCGGCTACAAGCATGGACGGCTTCAAAAGGGAATTAGATAAGCATATGGAGCAGAGGTCCATCAGTGGCTATTAGCCACAAGGTATAG